CAAAGGCAGCCTGGGCCCAGGGCTGCTGCCCAGTGACCGCCTGCGGCTCGCTCGCTCGCTCTCTCACACACACAGGCACAGACGTGGGCCTGATCAGGCCAGTGTCCCCTTCCCCCGTCTCTGCTCCAGTCCCACCACCTCCGTACCTCAGGGGCCGCAGTAACCGTCCCCACCGCACTGAGCTCTGGGAAGATGGGTTGAGATGCCACCCGCCAGGGCCCCAGCCTAACGCTGGGATGATCACATGACCTCACACACTGACACACACACACACACAGAGCCACACACACGACTATACACCACACACAAGCACACAACCAAACACAGCCACACACACGAAAGCCCACAACCACATACACACTGCACACAACCGCACACACTACACACTGCCATCAAACACAGCCGCACAGGAATGCCCACAACCACACTCAAGCCTACAACCACACACACACTGCACGCAACTGCACATACAGCCACAAACAAAACTATATACCACACGCAAGCACACAGCCACACAAATGCCCACAACCACACTCAAGCCTACAACCACACACACTGCACGCAACCACACATCACAAGCACGCACACAACCCCCCACACCCACGCGCCATCTCCCGGGGTTGGCAGCTCACGGCCGCCCCTGCCGCACCCAGGTCTTCCGCGAGGGTGCGCACCGGCACCACTGCCTGCTCCCGGGGTTCCCCCAGCCCAGGGTCCCTCCAGTCACCACCGCTGAGGCCGCTTACCAAAAACACATCAAATTCTTTACTTCTGAGGGCTCCCCTTTAAGGGGAGGCAGGAAATAGAACATTCTTTTTTGTGGGTTTTTTTTTTGGAGGCTTTAATAATAATAAAAAATGACATAATTAGTCAAATACTGATGTCGGTTAGGCCCTCTCGGTGTGCGGTGGGCCCAGTCCTGGCCGGCTGTGTCCCCCACGAGAGCCCCCTCTCAGCCCCGGGGGATCCGGGGTGGCACCAGGAGGGGCAGGGGGAGGCCGGCACCAGCAGGTGGCTGCCCAGCGCTCTGGCAGTGCGCATGCGCGCTGGGGGCGGGCGACCCAGCGCGCAGGCAGTGGTGGTGACGGTCACCACCGCAGGAAGTCCCGGATGAGCTTCCAGAGCTTGGTGACCCACAGGTTGACCCCGAGGTCCATCAGGTACTGGATCTCGGGCGTGAGCATGCGCCGGCAGAGCTGCGCGTGCCGCGGCCCGATGCTCTTCTTGAGGTTGTAGCCCAGGATGGACTTGGCGCCCAGGGGCTGCCAGGGCTGCATGGCCTCGTCCTGGATGGCGGCGGCGTCCACGGGCTGGCCGCCGTCGATGCAGATGCGCCGCATGCGCTCGTTGGCGCAGCGCAGCGCGGCCACCTCGCGCGCCATGCGCTCGCGTCCGAAGGCCTCCACCTTGCGCCAGAAGCTGGCGTTGAAGTGGCGGTAGAGGCGCGCGTCCAGCATGTTCCAGGCGGTGGCGCGGCGGTAGAGCTCGCCCGAGAGGCGCGGCACGGGCGAGTCGCGGCGCGCGTTGAGCTTGAAGTACAGCACGTCCTCCAGCTCCCAGCACAGCAGCTCCTTGAGCAGCACGAGCGACTCGTCGAAGTACTCCTGCAGCAGCACCAGGTGGAAGCGGCGCTCCACCTCCAGGATGTGCTCCTGCACCTGCGGGCTGCGCGGGTCCAGGCTGCTGTCGTAGCCCAGGTCGAAGAAGAGCAGGTTGCGCAGGTAGTGCGCGTTGTAGCCGCCGGGGTCGTAGTAGCGCTCGGGGTCCCGCAGGAACTCGGCCAGCTTGTCGCCGCCCGACAGCTTCCAGGTGAGCGGCACCACGGGCCCGAAGTAGTGGAAGGAGGACTCGAAGAGGCGCGCGGGGTCGCGCAGCACCGTGATGAAGGTGGCGTTGGGCGGCACCAGGCCGCGCACCTCGTCGTAGTGGAAGCGCATGTGGTTGCAGATGATGTTGAAGCAGGCGCCGGGCCGGTAGTCCTGCACCAGGCTGCGCGCGAAGAAGGCCGGGTAGTCGAAGTCGTTGCGGCCGTTGGGGAAGGCGAAGCGCAGCCCGTGTTTCTGGCCGAAGCGGAACAAGATGTTGAGCAGCGTGCTGCTGGCCGTCTTGTGCGTCTTCATGAACACGATGTCCCGGCGCGGCCGGCAGCCGCCCGAGCCGTTGGAGGCGCTCCCCGCGGGCGGCGGCGCGGTGGGCGGCTCTGGCTCACCTGGGGGCGGGGAGCAGGGTGCTGAGGCCTCCGGGGTCCTGCTGGGGACAGGGCGGTGGGGGAGGGAGAGCGCCTCAGAGGCTGCGGGGTGCGGGGGGGGGTAGGTTGGGGTGGGGGGCTGGGCTCTGCCAGTGAGGCTGCTGGGGAGGGACAGTGGTGGCGAGGGAGCTGGCAAGAGGGCAGGGGGACGTTGTGGTGCAGAGGGTTAAGGCACCACCCGGGACACCAGCATCCCACAGGAGCGCCGGTTCGAGTCCCGGCTGCTCCACTTCCGATCCAGCAGCTCCCTGCTAATGCGCCTGGGAAAGCAGTGGAAGATGACCCAATCCTTGGGCCCCTGCACCCACGTGGGAGACCAGGATGGAAGTCCTGGCTCCTGGCAGCCGCCTGGCCCAGCCCGAGACGCTGTGGACATTTGGAGACTGAACCAGCAGATGGAAGAGCTGTGTGTGTGTCTCTCTCTCTCTGTACTCTTTCAAACAAATAAAAATCTTAAAAAGAGCTGGGATGGGCGCACGGCATGGGCCTGGACCCAGCCTGGGTGCCCAAGCCAGTGGTTTCTCCTCGCTGGTCTCAGTTTCATCATCTGAGAAATGGGGGCAGACGCGGGCCCTGTCTGGACTGTGGCTGTGAGAGCCACGTAAGGCGAGGCACGGGGGCTCTTGTCTCATTCAAAGCCACAGCACTGTCCTATATCAGGTTGCACCATGGGAAATGCCCTCTTGTAGGCTGACGGTACTCAGACACCAGCCCCTTCCCCTCGTTCAATTTAACATCAGCAACCCAAGGGCCCCGGCTCTTACTGGTCTACACTGGGCAGCCCTGTGAGGAGGGGGCACAGCCTGGTGGCTAGGACCTGGGTCCCGGGTCACCGAATCCAGGGCCCTGTGCCAGCTGAGTGCTCTTGGGCCCAAGTCACCCCCGCGGTGGCCCCAGTGCAGCCTCGGAGCCCCGTGCCCCTGTCTGCGGGCAGTGGGCATGCTTCTGCTGCACAAGACAAGGCGCTGTCACTGTGCCCATTTCACAGATGGGTACAATGAGTACTCATCTGGGTCGTGCCCTGGCTGGTACTCCTGTCGGGCACAGCGTGGTACAGGGCGCGGGAAGAGGGGCACTGAGGGGGTGAGCGGTCTCGGGGCCCCGCCCACGCCCATCCGCCCACCCTCGGTCCCCCGCCGGGCCACTCACGCGGAGGCCAGGCCGGCGTGCAGCGGGGGGACGGCGTAGGAGTAGAGCAGCAGCAGGAAGCTGGTGAACAGCGCGCCCAGCACCAGCCCCTTGGCCATGGATTCCCAGCGCTTCTTCGGCGGCGGCGGCGGCATCTCAGGCACCTGTAGGGGGCGGCACGGGGCGGCACAAGCGTCAGGATCCGGGGCCTTGGGAGCTCCCGCCGGCAGGGGGCGCAGCAGGGCTCTGCCTGTGTCTGCTCCATCAGGGCCAGAGATGCCCTGGCCAGCCAGGCAGAGAACCACGTGCGGGAGAGACGGCCACGGGGCTGCAGGCAGAGGCGCTGGGGAAGGGGCGCGGACCAAGCGCAGTTTTCATTTCTGAGCCGGGTGGGAGCAGCCGGGAGACCTTACCTTATTGTTCATGCCCTTTAGGGTTCCCTAATGAAACAGGTTAAAGCCAGATCCTCTTCCCCAGAACGCCCAGCCTCCTCCTTTGTCTCCTGTCCAAGGGAGGGGCTGGGGCATCTCCTCTCTCTGCAGGGGCCCCTGAGCCGTTGGGGGCTTTAGCAGCAGCAGTTGGGGAAACTGAGGCTCAGTATAATAAGCAGTGTGGGTTCTGGCCACAGAGCAGGCCAGGCCTCTGCCCACGAACACACATTGCCGGCAGCTCAGTCTGCATAGTTAAATTTGAATTTCTGATAGGCAATTGTTTAAAAAAAAAAAAACTTTTTTGGAGTATAAGTATATCCCACATATTATATGGGATATACTTATACTTAAAAAAATCAATTTTCCATTTTCATCAGATATCCTAAGTGTTGTGATTGCTGTTTGTTTGTTTGGGGGAAGGAGTTCATGGCAGCTCGTTCAGCCCGTGTCCAGGAGACACCCAAATCTTCCACTGTCACTCAGGCAGAGACAAAGCCAGCGCCTGAAACTTTCCACTCCCCTGCTGGCTCACGGGGCACAGGGCCCTGAGCCCCTGCGGCCACAAGAGGTCACGCGTACAGCCCTGTCGCCACACACACACAGCGTGGTCCATCACCACTGTCCCCAGGGGCAGAAGGCAAACAGCCTTGCTGGGGGGAGGGTCCCACACTCCCTGGGAAAGTCACTCACAGCTCCCACAAATTCTTCCCTGGAAAGGGGGCCCTCCAGGCACCGCCCCCTCCCGAGCAGCTGGCACCCATGGCTGAGTCCTAGAAATGTCTCCTCCTAGGAGAGAGCTATGTAATCAGGAACGTGGCCTCCTGTGCGGCAACGGGATGCCCCTGCTCACTGCGCAAGGAGGGGCCGGGGTCCGGACTGGGGAGGGTGCGGGACATTTCCAGAAAGCAGTGGTGTGAGAGAAGGCAGGGACAAGGTTCTCTGCCTCCCCACTGGCGCGTGGAAACAGTCACCTGTGCAAAGTCACCTGTGTGTGCAAGGGCGGTCACAGCAGCTCAGAAACAAAAAAAAAAAAAAAAAAAAAATCAAGGCTCATCCCATAAATCAAGGCCCATCCCCAGAAGAAAGTCATCTGTAGATACTAAAAAAAAAAAAACAAGGTTGGGCCAGTATATGAGCTGTCTCTGAGCACTGGTTCGAGTCCCGGCTGCTCCGCTTCCAATCCAGAGCCCTGCTAATGCGCCTGGGGAAGCACCAATGTCGGACCTGGATGAAGCTCCTGGCTCCTGGCTTTGGCCTGGCCCAGCCCCGGCCATTGCAACCATTTGTGGGAGTGAACCAGCAGGCGGAAGACCTCTCTCTGTCTCTCCCTCTCTATAACTCTGCCTTTCAAATAAATACATCTTAAACACAAACAAATTTTAAAAAAAAGCTAAAAACGCACCATGATCTCTTTGTCTGGAAAAAAAGAAAGTTCTAGAACATACGCACCCCACCCCCATACATATATGCATGTAGGTAAACATTCAGATATTTAAGGAAACAGGAACAGGTCGAGTATCCCTTTTCCAATTAGGCTCAGCGGTGTTGCTGAAATATTTGAATTGGGGGCGGGGGTCAGAGATATTTGCATATTCATAATGAGCTAACTTGGGGAAAGGACCCAAGCGTACACAGAAAATCGATGCACACCATGCACCTCGCACAGTATTTGTAGTGTGCCTGTGTTCGGACTGGGACGTGTCGCACCGAGGTCAGGGCTGGGATTTTCCGTTTTTAGAATTCTTCAGCAAGTCTCGGATTTTGGAACGTTTTAGAGTGGGGAATCTTGGCTTAGGAATGCCCAACCCATAAGAGGTCTATCGGGAATATTTCTGTACACGATGCATTTCTGTCACATGACATTTTTTAAAGGCGCATATCTCTTTTAATCAGGAACAAAAAAGGCCATATGTGATACTGAACACATTCACATAATGAAATTATAAAGTTCGCGAGGGGAGGGCAGCCAGCCTGCCATGCTCTGGCCTTGGAGGGGCCTGATGTGGGGGAGGGGCACTTCAGGCCCTGTGCCTTTAGACAAGCTGAGGACCCCGGGGCATTTGCTTCTCATCTGAAAAGCGGAGCAGCTGGGAGCCCCCTGAGCTCTGGGGACCTTCTTGGGAAAGGGCCACACGGCCAGGCACAGAGAGAGTTGCTTGCAGCCCTCCTGGACCCCTGCGGGCCGGCTCCCAGCCCTGGACAAGGAGCACAAACCCACCACGCACCAACCCGCCCTCCTCCAGCCCTCCTGCCAGCCAGCCTCCCGCCCCCTAGAGGCCCAGCAGAAAACACAGCTAAAGCCAGCCCAGAGCCTAAAACCCAGACTGAGGCCCAGGGCCCCAGTTTCTCTGCTATTAAAATGGGGGAGGGGCTAGGAATCCCTGGGGCTCCCCCTCTGCACGGCCCAGGGCGCACTCCTGCCCCAGCAGCCCCACTCACCCGGGTGCTTTCCAGAACTCCTGGAGGCTGCTCTGTGGAGACCCTGGGCAGAGGCTGGGCAGCAGGGGGCAGAGCAGCCTCCCGACCACCAATCAGACTTCACCTGGCCCAGCCCAGGTCCGCCCCCTCCCCCGACCCCACACCTGATTACTGGTTCACTCACTTATTTGTTCTACTTGGGCTTCTCCAACCTGGGCACGCCCCTGCTGTGTTCTGGCAGGATACGGGGCATGTGCCAGCCCAGGGGTTCACTTTGCAGCTACTGCTATGAGCCGGGCTTGGGGAGGGGGCTTTTCTAAAGCGTGTGACTGACTGCCAGCCCCTACCCCCACCCCACTGTCGCTCTCACATTGCAAGCTCCAGGAGCTGCATGATTTGCCCGGGGTCAGGAGTTCGAGCCCAGATCTGTGGACCCTGCAGTCCCCTATTTCCTGCCTGGTCCATGGCCATCCCTGCCAGGTATGTCGCAAGCCCAGAGCAGGGACGGAGGCTGGGTGTGTGCACTGCGAAAGCCCCCATCACAGAAGGCAGAGGCACACAGGGCCAGGGGCGGGCGCAGCAGGGTTTGGCCTTGGTGGGCTGAGCCGGCAGCCGGGAGGAGGGAGAGGAGTCAGAGAGGGGGGCCTTGGTGACTGGTGTCTCCTGTGCTGGCTGGTGGCTTCCTTCCTACCTGGCCTCTGTGACCTTGGCCGTGGAGCTCACCTGCTCTGAGCCTGGGTCTGCTTGTGTGGGCAGAGCCCCTGGGAGTCTGGCCTGAGGGAGAACGGTGCCTTCCGGGGGGTGTACGGCACAGGGAAATTCTATGTGCTCTGTGCTCTGGGAAGATCAATACGATTTAATTATTAATAGTGACAGCAGGGTAATATTATTATCAGCACGCGGGCATGGGAGTACAGAGACTAGTTCCCTCCTAGCTTGCCGGTGACTCATCCTCGGGCTTCCCGGGGCCTGGCACCGCGTGAATGTTTGATGAATGACCCCTGTGACTCCTCATTCAGGATCGACGGTGGCCGGGCTGCCCAGGGCGGGTAGCGTGACTGAGAGGACACAGCCCCAGGCACCAGCTCTCCCTCCGACACAGGGAGCCGGGCATTGCTGTGCGTTCCACACCCAGCAGTCCACACGGACGGCACCCAGTCCCGGGGGTCCCGCAGTCACTCAGTGAACCTGCTCTGCCACCATCGCTGGGACTGTCCTATCCGTCCCCGCTGGGGTCCCAGCTGACAGCCCGCAGTCCAAGGCCAACCCAGTGCAGCCCGAGCCTCACGGCCTCCAGGTTGAAGAGAGGCAGGGAGGCTGAGCCTCAGAGACAGCAGGGGCACCCTTGACGTCACACAGCACAGCCGAAGCAGAGACAGAGTAGAAGCTGAGTCTCCCGTCTATTTTAACCTTAGTGGTGGCAAGCACGGTGTAGACTGTCCCCTCTGCCAGCCCACTCCATCCATACCCCAGCCACAGCGGCCTCCATCAGTGCACAGATGGCTGGCGGCAGGCCAGGCCCAGCCATCCTCCTGTTCAGGTGCACGAAGTCTCTTTGGGGGAAAGATGAAGAACCAAGATTCGGTTCCTCCATGCTACACACAGGGACACCGAGACCAGGATGGAAAACCTGGGTGGATCACCTCCACCAGGCAGGCCTCCGCCCCCAGGTGTCCTGCTCACCCCCTGAGCCCCGTGCAGGGGAAGAGGGGACACACTCACCTCAGCTGTGGCTGTCCCTTTCCTCTGTCTGCCTGAGCCACGACTCCCAGGCTGCCTCTGGGCACTGGGAGACGGGAGCACTCCAATGACACCCAGCAGCAGGCAGGCTGGCTGGCTCCCTCTCGCTCCAGCGGGTGTGAATATTCATGAGTCCTCTCCCTGGGGAGAGCAGGTACCCTGTAGGTGGTGCCCTGGCCCTCGTCCCCTCCTCCTCCCCTTGCCCCCCGCCACTTCCACGGGACAGTAAGGCAGCTTCATTCATCCAAGGGTTCAGCAAACCCAGTGTCCTTGAGCCAAGGACGTGGCAACCGCAGAAGCCCTGCAGAGAGCCCAGGACAGGTTCCAAGGGGAAGGTGGAGGGAGGGACAGCGAGGCGGGGGCTGTGGGGGCGGGGAGGGGGTGGCGGTGCTGCGAGGACACTCATGGAAGTCTCACGGCTGCCCTGTGTGCCAAGCGCCCCCGGTAGCCCACTCCCCAGGTGAAGAAGCCAAGGCTGCAGGAGGAGAAGTCACCTGTCCAAGGTCACACCAGGCTAATAAAGAACAGACCTGCCAGACACAGAGGCTGAAAGATGCAGAGGTACCACAACCAAGAACCGAGGCTGATGCCAAACCTGCAGGGGCCCAGAGCCACGGAGTCAGCCTGGAAGGCTTCCAGGAGGCAGAGTCTCTGACCACGGCTCGAGGGTGGATGAAGCTGGTGAGATTTTACCCCGCGAGCTCAAAACCCCTATCCAAGAGAGCGCAAGATCCCCACCTGCCGGGCCTGCACCCTGGGGTGAGACAAAGACCCTGGGCCCCCCTGTGCGGGACCAGGGCTGCCTGCCAGTGCTGGGGTCTAGGCAGGAAGGGGCAGGTTCAGGTTCAGGTTCAGGTGTTTTCTCTTGGTTTTGTCCTCTTGTGCCCAGAACACAACACCCCCCACCCCCCACCCCTCCCCGTCTTCCCTTAAGCTTGGTCCCTTGGAAGGTCCTTGGGTCACCGAGGGTGGCGCCCTTGGACAAGAGGAAAGCAGTGCTTGGTGGGACCCTGAATCAGCTCTCGTGAGATGGAGTTGTTACAAAAACCTGAGCCTGGCGCGGGTGTCTGCTGCAGTGGGTAAGACACTGCTTGGGATGCCCGCCTCCCATACTGGAGTGCCTGGGTTTGAGTCCCGGCTCCGCTTCAGGTCCCAGCTTCCCGCTGAAGGGCACCCTGGGAAGGCAGACGATATGACTCAAGTAGAGGTAGAGCTCCCAGCTCCTGGCTTCAGCCTGGCCCAGCCCCGGCTGTTGTAGGCATTTGGGGCAGGGGATGGGCAGATGGAAGATCTCTCTCTCCCCTTTGGGGGGCCAATATCGTCATCCATGAATCATATCCCTGTGGGCTGGACATTTTTCCCCCAACTGGGCACACTCGCCCGGGTTCCAGCCTGCAGCATCCGATACTTGCTCCCTCCCGCGGCCCTTCCCAGCCTGGGAGCAGCCCCTCGCCCCCAGCCCCCATGAAAATACCGGAGCTTGGCCCACGGGGATCCGGTGCGGGTCATGCTATGGAGTTGTTTCTTTATCTTGTTTTACCTGCTATCAGGCCTCCTGGGCTGAACCGCATGAAGAGAGCTTTATAGGGGTAAATCATGGGCAGAGCTGGCACCCAGCGGCACGGGCTGGTGCTTTACGAGTGTGGACTCTGAACCAAAAAGGGTTCAGTCCTGAGCGCAGGGCCTGCCTCAGGTGTGTGCCCTGTCATCCTCGCCGCGGAGCGCCCTTTCCCACCCAGTCACCAGGGGAGAGGTGAGACGCTCACCCAAGCAGGGACAGACAGAGCTCTGGCCCTCCCGCCCGTGGCTCGGGTTCGAGCCCTCCTGAGAGCAGTTTCTTGCTAATGAGCACCCTGGGAGGCAGCGGGTGACGGCTCCGGTATTTGGATCCCTGCCAGCTACATGGGAGACTTGGATTAAGATCCTGGCTCCTGGCTTTGGCCTGGCCCAGCCCTGGCTGTTGCATGCATTTAGGGAGTGAACAAGCAGATGGCATCTCTGTCTGTCTCTCTCAAATAAAAAACAAAATTTAAAAAAATTCCAGGCTCACTAAAAAAAAAAAAATTCAGACAATACAGGAAAGCATAAACAAATTGATTCAGGGCCGGTGCTGTGGCATAGCAGACTATGCCTCCGCCTGAGGCGCTGGCATCCCATATGGGCGCCAGTTCAAGTCCCGGCTGCTCCTCTTCCAATCCAGCGTCCTGCTAATGGCCTGGGAAAGCAGCAGAAGATGGCCCAAGTGCCTTGGGACCCTGCACCCACTTGGGAGACCTGGAAGCAGCTCCTGGCTTCAGATCAACCCAGCTCCGGCTGTTGTGGCCACTTGGGGAGTGAACCAGCAGGTGGAAGTCCTCTCTTTCTGTCTCTCTCTCTCTCTGTCTGTAACTCTGCCTCTCAAATAAATAAGTAAATCTTCAAAAAAAAAAAAAAAAAAAAAGGATGATTCAAATAGCCCTATTCCCAGAGGTTGCTGCCATTAAAGTTTTGGTCCGAGCCTTTTTACATTTTCTCTGTCTGTAGCTCCCTATAGATAGATGATGGGAGGGATTTGTTTAGGCGGCTTTCTCATTCATTGGCTCATGTCCTCCCAACACCTGTCGTGGCCACGGCTGGGCCAGGCTGAAGCTTGGAGCCAGCCAGGAACTCAGCTGGGGCTCCCACATGGGAGGCAGGGACCCAACTACTTGAGCCATCACTGTGGCCTCCCAGCAGGCAGCTGGAACGGAGGCCAGACATGCCCAGGTGGGACAAGGTGTCTTCATGACGACCAGAGCTGGGAGCTCAGGGCTCACGGCACTAGGGGAAGACAGGGGAAACCAAGGGAGTAACTGGGGCTTCCTGGAACACAGAGGAAAACCTGATCAAGCCCGGGTAGGGGATGGCATCAGGGAGACTTCTTGGAGTAGGGGGCTCCCCTGGATGGTGGAAGCTGGCTGCTGTCTTTCCAAATGAGTCCCCTTTATTCCCCGGTCACACGACTAAACTACATTTCCCATCCTCCCTAGCAGTTCAGTGTCCTCATGTGATTGGATTCCGGCCAATGGGGTGTGAGCAGAATGACAGCTGATGAGTTAGGAGGGCGGACCTTCTCTGTGGCTTCCTCTGCCCTGGGGGGAATGAATGGGGTGGTCTCCAAGGGTCTGGAAGTGGAGGTGGTGGGGTGGGTGGGTGGGACATGAGATGGGAGGAGCCTGGATCTCTGTATCACTGCCTAAGAAACACCCATGGAATTTCAAGAAAATGAGAACTAAATTGCTATTGTGTTAAGCCCTTTGGGACTCCGGGCTTGTCTGTTACAGCACCAGCACTAGCTAATGAGCCTGTTCTGGAATCAACCAGGCAGAGAGAAAAGATGTGCAAAGGCCCCGGGCAATCGACAAACTCACTCATGTGGCCAGGATGCAGTGTCCACATGCGTGCCAGTAAGAGCTTAGGTGGGCAGGGGAGACCACAGGGGCCAGCGGGGTGTGCAGGGGCCTTGGGAAGTATGCCTACGGGGAGCCTGGGAGGGCTTCAGCCAAGCATTCCTAGCAGGTGACAGATGAGCTGCGGGGCTGGGGAAGGAGTGGAGAAGCGGGCGGACCTGGTGGCTGTCACCCCACCTGTGCAAGCGTGAGAGCACCCGGAGCACGGGGAAGGCAGGGGCGCACAGGAGCCACCTGTAGGCACGGCACGGCACGGCCAGCATCTGGTGGGTCACCAGGTGTCCCGGAGGGGAGGCAGGGGCCGAAGGTGACCCCTTGAGCAGGGGAAGCTGAGAAAGCCTGGGCTTAGTGGTGGGCAGGGGAGGAACGGGCAAGGTCAAGTTCTGTTTTAGAACCTGTTGAGTCTGCGGGATGCATGAGATGCTCCCAGAATGCCCAGAGGCTGGGGGCCACGGGCACAGAGGTGGGATCTGAGGCCACAGGAGTATTTGGAGGCACCAGGAAAAGGGTGCAGTGGGGAGGATGCCTGCACTCAGGGGAGCAGGTAGGGAATAGCCTCCCCCCACCCTGCCCCGAGATACTCAGCGGCACCACCACGGCTCCCCCCATGACCCATCCTCGGCTGATGTGTATAGGCTGAGTGGGCACACACAGGGACAGGGCTCTGGCACAGGAAGTGGGGTGAGGGTGTCCCCCAGCTGTTTCCGGTAGCTGGAGGGAAATCCCATGGGAACATGGAAGGCGCTTTAATAGCGAGACAAAAAGTCTTTCCCTATGGTGACCGTAACTCTTAACAGTTCTCATGGTGCCCATCCCTCGGGCCAGCAGGTGCCCCTGTGTTTGGAGAATAGAAGCCAACAAGAGATCAGAGATGTGTTTGGATTCTCTGATGACATATATGAGGTGCTTCAAAAAGTCGTGGGAAATGGAGTTTAAAAAATTAGGTTTATTTTTCGGTTCCAAAGAAACGGAAATCCGTGCATAGTTTTTTTTTCCATCATGTATATTTTCCACAAACTTTTTGGAGACTCCTCATACACACACACACTTTTACAAAAAGAGGCTGGATTATTTTGGAGAGCAAATAAGAATAAAGAGTAAAGGCCTTTCCATGATGAACAGCCGCACCTGGCTGGCTGGCAGAGGGACACATGCCAATGTGTGGGTCCGAGCCAACCCCCACCCTCCTGTGTGACCTTGGCGACCCAGCTGCCGTCTCTGAACCTCAGTGGGGAAGGGGTAGCAGGGGCCTGGCAGAGATCTGGAAGCTTCCGCACTCTGAACCCCTCTCCAGTGCCATGCTGGGGCCGAGATGGGGAGGACCGTCCGGGGGCGGGGCTATGCATCGGGACCCCAACTTGCTGACTCCCAGGCCCACCTCCGAATGGCCCCTTGACGGGACACAGGAGTGCCAGGTGGTACGAGGCCTGGCAGCCGAAGGAGGGCAATGTTCTTCGATGAGTCACAGAGTTTTTTGATCTCGCAGGGTCACCCTCTGTCTGCTCTTACAAAGGGCAGTCGCACACACACACACACACACACACACACACACCCATGAGCTCAATGGACCCTCTCGGTGGCCTCTGCTGGACCCACGGGACGGGGACGGAGCAGGGAGCAGGGTGAGAGGATGGAGGGCTTGTAGAGGGGCTCAATGCCCAGGCTAGAAGGAGGGGGAGTCTATGCTTTGCCCACCAGCAAAATCATTGCCTCTCCCGGTGGCAGATTCGAGCAAGCGACCCCTAGCTGCGGAGTGGTGAGTCACAGGCTCACTCCCCTAAAGCCAGCGGCTTCTTCCCAGGCACCCAAACCCTGGATTTCATTCTCTCTCCTTTATAACATGCCTGAAATAGTTTCCAAAGAACGGCGATGGTACTTCTCTGCATATACCAGGGGGTAGCACTAGGCAGGTTTTTATGCACTACTGGATGGGCACACCCTCTGCTGGGCACCTTGTTAGGAGCTGGTCACGAATCTGTTCTACCGCTCCCCAGTGGGGCGACTTTGGGCAAGTGACTTCTCTAGGCTCAGCCTGATGCCTAAAATGAAAGGACAGAGACGCTGGTTCAGGCTTGCCACAAGGACCAGATGGCGCTGGCATACGCTCGGTGCCGTGCCTGCTGATGGCTACGGTCCCCCCAGGTCCGCACCCGGCCCAGGGAAGCAGGATCCGCCAGTGCAGACTCCTGGAGGGCCACGCACCCGTGCGTCCCACATCCGACTCCAGGAGCCCCAACCCTCGTATCTCACATCCCACAAAACTGAGACCCGGCTGGGGCTTAGGGGGTCAGGACACTGCGCCAGCCAGGTCTGGGGGAGCCCAAGCCATACCTGACCTCTGCTCTGTACCCTCCGGGCCCCCACATCCTCCTGCTGTGTCACCTCTCACCTGGCGATTGCAGCGGGTCCCCAGCCCTGTGAGTTCCGTGGGTACCTCTGCTCCATTCTGCCCTGCCCTGCCCGGAGCCCTGTAGGGCTCCCCAAAGGGGCTGTCCTCACTCCTCACCCAGTCAGAGCAAAGCAGCAGCCCCAGAGAAGCCTGCCTCCATGCCCAGAATTCCTCTATCCGTGCCGCCTTCTCCTGGGTTAATCATTGCCTTCCTCCTTGGGTGGCACACTCAATCCCTGGGAGCCCGGCGGGAGGGGACATGCTCCCCTCTCTGGCTGGGGCAGCTGGAGAGCCCTGGGCTGGCAGGGGCAGGGGATGCAGGGTAAGCAGGTGTGCTTTGTCCACGGGGCGCTTCCTCCAGGCAGCACTCTGCCCGAGCGAGAAGCGGGGATTGAAGCAGCTGGGAACAGGGCTCCTGTTGTCTCTGCTCCCGGGGTAGCAACCGGCCCAGCCCCCGAGTGTCAGGCGGAGCTGGGAGCCAGGGTGGCAAGGGGGGAGGGGTCCCAAGCTGGGTGTTTGGGGGTAGCCCAGGCACACACAAGAGGCCAGGACCTCAGAGGGGCAGAGAGGTCCTGAGAGAGGGCCCCAGCGCAAGACCCCTGTGATTCGGAGCCCATCTAACCACCTCTGCCCTGTCACAAGTCCCCAAATGTCCCCGTGCCTCAGTGTCCCTCTCTGGATAATGGGAATAAGTAGCAAAAATGCCTCCTCCCTGCAGTACAGGGACCCTGCTGGCACAGGCTTGTCCTCCTCTGTTTCCTACGTGATCCTGAACAACCTCACCTCCTCTGGGCCTCCCGCCCCCCACGCCAGGAAAGCAAGGGGTGGATTTTTCTGGGCTGGACCGTCCTCCACACCTCTTTCCTCTCCAGGATTTCCATGGCACCTGTCACCACGGCAACCAGGGGGATCGGGTGTCAGGCCGGCTGCCCTCCCTCCCTCCCCGGTGTGGGTTACAGCAGCCAGATGTGCACTGGGGCAGCCGGGGAAGGGAGGCCACAGCTATGTTCTACTGTGCCCAAGGATCTGGCCTGGGACCCAGGGGCAGACGGACCAGGCCCCGCCTCCCCGGCACTAGCCCAGGAAGCAGGCACCTGAGGGGTTTCCCAGGGCACCCCTCCTGGATACCAGGGTTTGTCCCCTAAGCCTCTCCTTGGTGGCCTTGCTCCCTCTGGGGGTTCAGGGCGGGGCCTTTCCCAAGCAAAGGGGTCCATCCCTTCTCCGGGACCCCCTTCCACCATGGGATGGTGGGGAGAGGGAGATCCCTGCCCCTCCTCCCCAGGTTCAGGCCACAAGGGCCAAGATTAATCATTAATGGGTGCTGCTCTCCAGCTGGGCCCAGCAGCCGGCTTTCTCCAGCACCACCCACCACACCTTCAGGGACTGGGGAAACCCCGGAAAGTGGAAAGCCAGGGAGGAAAAACCAAGGGTAGCCGGCACCAGCCCGCGGGGGGCCTCCCTGGCCCCTTGGGACCACCCCCTGGCCTTGGCAGGGGCGCCTGGCTCCGAGAGCAGTGGCGGGCCCTTCTGCCATGCAAGCTGCCCCAATCTGCAGGATAGGCAGGGTTGCTGAGCGGGTAGACTGAGGCAGGGCGCAAGCGGGTGGTGGGGGCTGGATCCCAGGACGTACCTTGTCTCTGTCCTCCTCCGGCTCAGCGTGGCTGACTCGGCCCCGGGCCGCGCGGCCCGGGCGCTCACTGGGCGGCGGGGCTCACCCGCCCGGGGTTCCCACTCAGCCAGGCCTGGTCCATGCCCCCGCCCCGCCGCCGCCGCGCCAGCTCCGGGGCAGGTGCGGCCGCCAGCTCAGCCCGCCTGCGGCGCTCCGGCCAATAGGCGCCCCGGGCCCTGGCCCCCTCCCGGACCGGTCCCAGCCCCTGCGCGCTCGCCCAGGACGCACAGAAGCCGCATTCAGCGCGCCAGGGCGCACAGCCGCGCCCCCGCCGCCTGCCCAACAAGGCCCGTTTGTCCCCAACGCGCCAACGGGGCCATTGTCCTGCCGTCTCTCTGGCTCTGCCGAGCCCCCAGCCTCGTTCGGGGACTCGAGGGTGCCTGGGCCGTGGTGGTGGTGGGGTGGGGAGCCGCTCACAGCTCTGGGGATGAGGCCGCAGGACAAGAGGCTTAACTTTTGGTGGGGAGACTTGAGGATCCAATGGAAGGTATGGCGTCCTGCTCCGGGCCAGTGCAAGCTGGGGACACTGTTGGCACCCATAGGATGGGGATGTGCCAGGAACCCTGAAGGGAGCTGAGCTGGCCGGCCACTAAGGGGTCTCAGCAGAGCCCGCCTCTCCAGGGCACACACCAAGGCGGAGAGCAAGGCTGTAGGATGTGGGTGCCCCATCCGCACCCTTCTCCAGGTCCGGGCTGGGCCTTTTCTCTCTCACCCAAGAGCCAGGATTCCTGGGCTCCGGCTGTGGGCAGTAAGCACTCAGCTGGCCACCCGTGGAGCCTGGGCCACATCAGGGCCGCGCTGCCCCCGCCATCCCGGGGCAAATTCCACATCAGCATGGCTGCCAGGCGTCCCTATCTGATGGGCCTGCTCTCCGGCCCTGCCCCCGGGCAGCCTGGGCCATCCCCCAGGTCCCTGCCTCAGTGGGCACGCCCGAGAGGGCATGAGGCACAGCCCTCTGTTCCCAGATGTGCGAGGCTCGGCCGGGATGGGAACCTGGGCACCCTGCTTCCCACAGAGCCTGCCAGCCCTCCCAGCTCTCCCTTGCACAGGCTGGACCTGCAGCCACTGTCCCAAACCATTCTCCGCCTATAGGGAGACAGGCAAGGCAGCGCCCAACGGTGCCAGGATGCAGGGAAGGGGGGACCCAGTTTCCCAGCCAGGTCCCCCCTGCTCTTGGCAACACTCAGCTACCCAGGGGACCCCTGGGGAGGCTGCCCTGGGAGGGGTCGGAGCTCCGGCCTTGGCTCTGTTGTGATGCATTGACAGTCGCCGCAAGAGTAAGAGGCTTGAGTCGGGCTATGGGCAAGCTTGCCCCCCCACCCCTGGCCCCGAAGCTCTGCTCAAGTCCACCAGGGAGAGCCAGGGAAGCCCCTCCTTTCGGGCCCCACAGACCCCTGAGGTGTGGCTTTTCTGGCTTTAGCAGGACACAATGGAAACTCTTTGCTGGGTGTTCCCTGGGCACCCGCCACACCGGACGACCCACACTCCCGAATGATCTTGTGAACCTGACACACCCCTTTGAAGGAGCCTTGGAATTCACCTGTGACTCACCCGGGACCAGCTGCGCAGGGGCAAGGGCGCACTGGCCTAGGATGTGAACCAAGGCCAGGCCCCCTGCCCAGCCCACACCTGCAGCCCTGCGCCCACCTCAGTCAACAGCCAGGGCCCGCCCAGCTGCAGCACAGGGCGCGAACGGTCCCTCCCCCGGCCCAGCAAGGCTCATGAACACAGGCTCCAGGTGGCTGCAACAGTCAGCCATTTAATAACAGATGCTCCCCCGCCCTCTGCCCCATCACAGCACCCTGAGAATCAGGGGTCCAAACGAGGAAGAGGGGAGGGAAGCCAGCGAGGAGCGGAGCAGGTGATGGGCCGGCCGGGGCCCTGGCCCTGCGTCCTCTTCTGGGCCCGGCCACAGGCAGGAACTCCAGGGGAGGCCGGCGCTGCCTGTGGGCCCGGCCAGGCAGCGAGACGGTGCCAGGGCCGGCCGGGGGAGGGAGGGCGTGAGAACAAGCGCCTCTGCTCCGTCACCAAGCTCAGGTCCTGGGCCCGCCTCCGCCCTGTGTCGCGGCACTCACACCGGCCTTGCCTTCTTGGCCTTCCTCTCTGACCGCAGTGCCTCGTCGTGGGCTCTCCGCTTCTGCGCCAGCTTGTTGGCCTGTGAGGAGGAGGGAGAGCTGGGATCAGCTGTGGTGGCTGCGGCTGGCAGAGCAGAGCTGCTACCAGGTGAAGCTCCCAGGTAAACACCACGGGGCTCGGACCCGCCGCTGCCTCTCGCCATAAGGGGAGGAGCTGGCCCTGGTCTTCACCGCTCTTTATTATTTTATGGTCCTGAGGATCTCGAGCTGAGAATCCCAGGTTCCTGGAGCTGGCGGGAGCCCTGGCAACCCGTCCACTCGGGAAGGTTGGGCGCCGTCCTAACCTGCCCCAGACGCCGAAGACCCCTTGGACAATGTCAAGCTCAAAACTGCAGCAGTGCCTGCGCCTCAGTGCAGCCCGCAACTCCCCCGTGTGTGTGTGTGGGGGGGCCGCAGGGACAGGCCCCAAGGGAGTCTTCTAGGCACGGTGACAGTGGCCCTGTGGGCCGGGGCCAGCCAGTTCTGGCTGACGTGGTAGGACTCCCAGATTCTAGCCAGTGAAGTGGTCCGCACCAGGCTGTTTATCTGCGGTGCCCCTAGACACGCGCTAGCATTCCAGAGGGAGACTGGGCGGCGCTTTCACACCACCTGTTTTGTTTTTCATCTAAATGAGCGCTTGCAGGGGGCGGGCATTTGGCCGAGTGGGAAAGAGTGCCTGGGGTCGAGCCTTGGCCCTGCTGCTTGCTGCTAAAGCACACCCTGGCAGACAGCAGGCAGCGGTTCCAGCAGCTGGATCCTGGCCACCCGGTGGAGGCCCAGAAGCTGGGCTCCCCGCATAAGCCTGGCCTAGCAAATCTGTCTCTCCCTCCTGCCTTTCAAATAAAATAAAAACAAATGAAATTTATCAATGAACCTACGTGGCTTTGTACAAAACAACAAAAAGACAATCTCGATGGAAGCCTGTCACAGCCCCGGAGGCTGCTGGGACGGCAGTCGGGGCAGGAAGCAGACAGCCGAGAGCTCGGCCCCGAGGCTGGGCCGGGATGGGGGTGACCTCAGGGAAAGGCTGGCAGAGCCCGGGCCTGCCCCCCACGGCCGGGGGCCTCCAGGTTCCCGTGGGCGGCGGCGCACTCACCTCGCGGATCTTGCGCCTCTTGCCAAACATGATCTTGTTGTACAGGTACTTCTCCCGCTTCCTCATCATCATGATGGCCAGGCGCTTGGCCTCGCTCTCCTCCTCCTGGGCCAGCCGCTGCTTGTCCTCCAGCTTCAGGGTGCCCGCCGTCACCCTGGGCTTCTGGGGACACAGCACGGTGGCCTGGCTCAGGGCCCTGGCTCCTGCCCTCGGGGCCGGTGGGGCTGTTCCCAGGCTGCCCCCCAGGCCAGCTGCTCCGTACCTTCCCCTCCATCCTCTGCTCCTCCAGGGCTGCCAGGCGGGCCTCTCCCTCCTCCTCCGAACCAGCCGCCCCATCTTCCTCCTCGCCTCCATCTTCTCCCCCTTCTTCACCCCCACCTTCGGCGTCTGCCTCCTCCTCTTCCTCCTCCTCCTCCTCTTCCTCCTCCTCCTCCGACTCTTTCACATCTCCTACAGACAGCCAGTGACTGGTGGCGCCGCAGACGCTGCTCTTTCCTAGCGGGGCGAGCACGGGCCCCAGGACCAGCCATCCGCCCCGCCACTGTCAGCCCCAGGCCCGAGCTGCCACTGACACTGAGACAAACACTGGGACACTCGGGACCACTCCGCCGTCACTCCACGCGGCATGGAACACGCGACTGCATGGCACACATGTTCCCCTCCCCCGAGCCGTGCTCCCCGGTGGGTTCACAGGCCTCTGCAGCCGGCCACCTCTGAGGCCCACCCCGCCCCGCCCCTCCTGCGCACCTGGCTCCTCCCCCCGCTGCAGGGCCAGCAGCTTCAGCTTCTCGGGGGGGACGTAGTCGCCTTCCTTCTCGGACACGAAGGGCGAGAGGTGCGGGGGCAGCTGCACCCCGGGGAGGTACTCTGCCACGGGCAGCAGGAGCCGGGCGTTCACGCAGTCAAACACCCACTGGGGCTGCACGTAGCTCCTGGCGCAGAGCGGCGGGGACAGAGGTCACGGGTGTGGGGGCAGCCCAGGGGCTTCCGAGGAACATCTCCACACCCAGAATCCAACAGGGCCGTGGGAGCCTACCTGCCAATGACGGGCGTCTGCTGCCCAGGCCGGTCGACAATCTGGTGGGTGATGTGTGGGTCTGTGACGTCATAGGTGGCTCCGATGCACAAAGACTTGTCCCAGGACACATCCCCCCCAAAACTCCTACAGGCAGAGATCCCAGGAGGGCACCCAGGCATGAGGTGCCTGTCCTGGCCCCCGCCCACACACTCACACTCTCGGGATGCGGCCCCCCCCTCCGTCCCCAGAACCTGCCCACCCTCTGCCCTGAGCTGGAAACAGGGCCCCGGCCAGAGGACGGCTGAGGCAGCGCTGCTGGGCGGCTCGGGCCCCCACCTGATGACGAAGGCCAAGGCCTCGCGGGGCACCTCGCGGTTCAGGAAGAACTTGAGGCCCTCAAACAGCTTCCTGTGCTTCTCCTGCGCCTCCAGCTCCTTCCTGCGTTCCTGCTCCTGGGCCGCCACCTCCTGCAGGGCGAGGGGCCAGGCCTCGCACCACCCCCAGAGGGGACCGT